GGTGCCTCCGCACCAGGAAGCAGCACCGAGCGCGGAGCAACCACCTCGCAGACACCGGAGCACCGCGTTGCCGCTACCAGGGGTCGGCCGCCTGGGACACGGGGCGCTGCAGTACCGCACCTTGGCCGCCGGGCGGCCGCACCAACCCGACCGTCCTGTTCCGAGCATCGAGGAGGAGAAAGGAGCGCTCCCGGGCCGCCGGGTCTGTGGCCACGGGAACAGGACACGCCAGTCTCAGCCTTGAACCCCTGAAATGATCAGGGATGCCATAATTAGATTGCAGAAGAAAACACCTGTAAATTTTTGAGTCTCTAAACACAGTATAGCTCAGAAATAAAGATCAAAATTTTATTTCCATATTGGTAATAAAAATAATTCCATGACTTTTGTAAACGATTGCATAAACGCCATAGTGTAGAAAAGTTTTAATAACAATTTTAAACAGTTCACTACAAGTAAATGATTATGCATTATAAATAATATGTTTTGTCTTCAGAACAATTTAATTCACAAAATCATTTCTGTCTGTACACTCAAAACATTAATGGCTTCCATAAATTAATGAGAGTAAAAATTCCACATTTATTTAGGGTCTGATGATGGCTGCAGTTACACAAGCACAGTGTGATAATATTACTACCTATATTTAATACTAGGATACTCTGAATGGCAATATAGAGCAAAACAAGTATGTCTTTAATAATCTGCTATTCAAAGAAGACTAATAATAAGCCTATAACATGCAGCTTGGGATCTATTTGTACATAGCATACTTCTGGTTAAATTACAGCTCCTAACTGTAAAAACCCTGACAAATCACAATTTTAATCTATTATTCCCCAGGCTAAAATAATTGTGACAACATAATGGCATTCACATTCAGAATTATATTCTTACCTAAATTAACACAGAACTTTGTCAAATACCAAAAATGAATCCTGAAAATCTATTTATTTTGCTTTTATGTATTTTGTGAGTTCAGCAAATTACCATAGTGGAGTCTTGCTAAAGTACAATTACAATGTATCTAGTTTCTAGACTGTGTATATAGTACAAGGACGAATACTTCAAAAAGGTCAGGTTTCACTGCTGATTTGTTCCAAATAGTCATCTCTAGTCAACTGCATACATTTTATTCTCCTCCATTTTGAAGTACTTGTGTAAATATTTATTTGTATTTGCAGCTGACTTGCTTAATAAGATACAGAAAACTTAGCTTGTAATTCCTCACAAAAAGAATTTTGTGAAGAACAACTGTATTATTTTCATATGACTGCTATGTACAATGATGTATGGTTCAAGTGATTACCTAAAGATTCATCTATAATTATAGCAAGCTGTCCAGTCTAAGAATTTCACACACAGCTATGTTTCTTCAGTATGTGTTTCTTCCTTCTCCACTAAATGGTTTGTTGATAATTTTTAAATGTGTTTGTAGTTCGGCACCAAAGAAACTTACAGGGAACACCTGCAAAATTTTCAGTACTGATATTGCTACAGGCCAACGTATCATCATTTTCAAGATTCATCACTGTAAAACACAAAACATACAACTTTAAAAACCAACAGACTAAACATATTAGTTAATTTCCTCTGAAAATGCAGCACATAGGAACTATGAATGTCAATGTGATGATTCACACCGCAAGTGCTGTTTACATTCCTTTTTTGTTGGCATTGCCAGATTAGGAAAGTCGCCTGTAACTACCAAAAAAAAGGGACCAAAAATAGCCCTAGGACATAGGTACATGCACTAAAATACACACAAAGAACTACAAACTTTGACAAGACGGCACAAAACCATGCTTCCGAATCTGGTGGGTAACAAATGTCACGCAGCTGCAGATGGGCAGCTCAAGGTGGCCTCAAGCTGGTTTTTCTAAAATGCCAAAGGAAAAAATTTCACAAAGGTATTTCTAAACATTTTTGTGAGCACAATGGTTGCAAAATGCTGCTCCACACTAGATGAATGTAGTAAACTAGTGTCCAAAATAACTGCTTGTTTGAAAACTATGTAACATAATTTCAAACTATAATCTTTTATATGCTCACTGTTTAAAAAAAAGCCACTAAATTTGCTTTAGTCCAAAATCCTGTTAAAGTTCAAAAAATCAGTCTTTGCACATATGCAAAAAATACATTAATACCTACAGCCAAACTTGGTGATCCAACTTCCTTTTTTAAAAGTCCAAATCTGGCTGTACCTTTAAAACAGGACTATCTTATTTTAGGACAGGAAAGAATATCTTATTTTAGGACAGTTCTCTGTTTTCAGTGTGTTTGAGAATGCAAATACAGTCCAATTTTTTTACTTTTCTCAGTACAAATGTTTTAAAGAAACTGTGTTAAAGTCAAGAAAATCACATGATTAAACCCAACTTTGGTCTTTAAAGTGATCTTCAGACAAAATTTTGAAACAGAACCAAGCAGCACTGTATTTAATATTTTATCCTACTTCTTCCTTCCCAAAAGGTCTCCCAACGTTCCTACAGATCAACGTGTCTTAGGATAGTAGCAACAAGTCTGTACATTTATTTATCACAGAAAATGTGTAACGATTTTTTCTAATTCAATCCTTTGTACAAATAATGCTAAAACCCACTGGAGTGATTTCAGTACTATTGGCTTTGGGCCCTTTATTAAATGCTGAGACAGTTCTATTAGCTCTATTTTGACAATAATAATTATAGTATACCTCTTGTTTTTTGTTTTAGCAAGACTGAACTTTAAATAGATTAACTCCTTTCTGCCTGTGTGAACTTACTTTTTGTACTGAATACAGTAATAAGGAGATACAAATCATGTATCACAGTAGTAGGTCATTCCAATCTAAGTTGTACTAGTGTTACACCCGAATTTAACAGAAAAAGGAGTAATGCAGGCAATTATTCCATGTAAGAAAAGTAAAAATATACAGTGTTAACATGCAGTAATTAATTAACTTCTCCTTCTGAACTGCATGCTCCCAACTACAAGGATGAAGTAAGCATATTACCACTTTTTAAAAAAATCATTGTCAAAGCGCAACTGTCTGATTACATACTTAAATAATCCTGTAGTTTCTTTCAAACATGCATTACTTCATTACTGAAAAAAACAGTATTTTTAAATATTTATAAAAGCAAGAGATGTATTCTAATTATAGTCAAATTGTTCAATACAAAATTAGGCAACAGAAATTATTTGCAAAATTCTCTTTTTTTATGTCTTCTGCCATTTTATAGGATATTGGGCATAGGCACTTGGTAATATTATATGTATCTCATATCTGTTCTGGACGAGTACCACACAGCTTAGGAGATGTACAAAAACTTTTAAGACTACAAACACTCAAAATGAGGGAAATATGCAAATACACCAACTGATCTGTTTCACAAAACTGAAAACACGTCTTTGAATACGGAAGCCTATGTGCCTCACTGTTTTTGTCTTCGCTGGTACATTTATAAATACTACAGTATGCAGTTAACTTATAAATTGTAAAAAAACTAGATAAGTTGTAATTTCTATTTAATTGCATTGTGATTTAACAGTAAATCCGTGTGAAATATTATAAATTCACAGTACACATAAAACACATCATATTATTATTATTGCATCTTAAAAAATAAACATAAGACCTAGAAAGCAGCTTGAAGCATTTTACAACATACCATCTAACAAAACACAATAATCAAAAAGTGCTTTTACATTAATCAGAGTTTTTCAAACATCCAAGTAAACATAATGTTAGACCAATGCCAAAATACTGGCTCTGGTGTTCTATACACACAGCAAAGGGACCATTTGCAGTGTTGAGTGTGTAGTTACTCTATCTACGTATCCATCTTCTGTTAATTAAAATAACAACACTTCATTCAGGCATTATGATAAGATTTATACAAAGTGATTACAGCGCAAATGAACCTAAGTAGCTTGTGCACTAGGAATGTAAGTGCCAGTCGGAAAAGGCTGCGATGGGATTGCAGGGGGAACAAAAGAACCTCAAGACTATAGAAACTCGTCAAATGACTGAAGTTGATAGGTAAAGTTGATCAAGTCTTATTCTCTATCTTAAAGCAACTAAGTTTCTCACATCAAAATGAAAATCAGTCTAGCGCTATTAAATGGATTAATTGTGAGTGATATAATTCTTACACAAAATACAAAACCATAAAATTATTTAATTAATTAACATGATATGTATGAGTACTATGCCTGTATGTTACCACAGATATTTTTTTTCTTGCAGCAGGGACACTCTTCTTGTGCAGCTGCAGAGTGATCACAAAGTACGTAATGTTGACACGGATTCAGGATAATGCTACGATCACCTTCCTGACATACAACACACCTCTTTGACTGAAGCTGAAAAATCACCTGTAAAAAGATTATTGTACTCAGTAAAAATGAAAGTATGCAGTTGCGTTCTAGCAGCTTTTTGCTTAGCTGTCCTGAATAAACATCTAATTTAACACCATAAAGGACAATGTTATTGTATGACAGAAAGCTGAATCGAGGGTTGTAATTTCAGAGCACACGCAACCTCTAACGTAGCAGCTGGAGGAGTATAGGTGCTTTTAGAAAATAAAATATCTAGTATTAAACCTCTGGACTGAAATTTTCCTGCATAATTGGGATGACTCATGCAAACACGCAAAAACAAAAAAAAAAAAAGAGGAAATAAGCCTTTTTCATTGTCATATACTCCTTCATTTTGCCTCTTCAAACCACTGTTACATTTTCTCATGCCGTGGGAGATGTTCACATTAGGGCAAAATGGAAGCATCCCAAACGTGCAATAGTTTGAATAAAGCTCCTGATACAGACTGTGGGGAGAATGTTACTACTGCAAATAAATGTCTTCATGCGATAAGCCTTATCAACCCTATTAAGGAACGCAAAAAACTGAAAAGCATCTAAAAGTAGTGTTAATTTTTGAAGAGCAAGACATGATTCGGACTAAGAGAAGAACCCAGAATGGTATGTGTGGCACTGCCTAAGACAGCAGCTTTCTCCTGGAAGGAAGAACTAGGTGAGAAGAGGCCGCAGTGGTAAAGGAAACCTGGGAAACTGAGGAGCTGGAAAAGGTGAAATGGTTCCGACAACTCCAGCCTGGCCAAGATTACTTCCATTCCAGAATCTAATGCCTTTTTTTGGTAAGAGATCCCAAGACTCTTTTGCTTCTCTTTAAAATCCCCTAGGAGAAAAACAATAGCGGTCCCTAATCCAATCCAGAATCCTGTAAATGTACTTGATAACAGGAGCCTGGTAACCAGCAAGTCTCATCCTCATCCATCTACTTTATTGACAAAGACTTAAACTATCTTTTAAACTCCTCTAAAGAGAGCCTGGCTTTTTTTTTTCCAAGGCTGTAGTTCATACTGATACAGATGGCACTGGATAGGAGGTGCACTGAGACAGAGAAGACACAGCTGACCTCAAATTGGTGCTAGAGTATGGCAGATTGTCCCAGTAGTGAAAGGAAATTATTATTTTTTTTTGTCTGGACAGTCCCATCACAGTCAAAACAAACCAGCAAGAACTGGTGTCATATGTGATGTCACTGCCCTTTGAGACTGCAGGGGAGAAAGCAATGTGAAACCAAGTTGAGCCCAGCAAGGTTTGAAGTATGGTACCTGGAGCAGTGCATGGTCATTATTATCTTCCTCAATGTGCTCAAAGGAGTAGCACTTGATATTCCCAGCTTTCAGAGCCCTGAGAAATGCCCTCAATCTGGCAGCAAATGAGCATCCTAAATTTTGTCAGAAACTGAGTCTGGATTTGAGAGAAGGTGACATACAGCAATATGCCACTAAGGGGATTAAGGGACTAAAGCATCTGGTATACAAGGAGAGGCTGAAAGAGCTGGGACTGTTTAGCCTTGAGAAGAGATGGCATCTACTGGTGTGTATAAATACCTGATGGGAGGGAGCAAAACAGACAGGGACAGGCTCTTCTTGGGGGTGTCCAGTAAAGAAGAGGCAATGGGCACAAATTAAAATACAGAAAATTCCACATACATAAGAAAAAAATTTTCTTACTGTGAGGATGGTCAAAGACTGTAAAAGGTTGCCCACAGAGCTGGTAGACTCCCCATCCTTGGAGACACTCAAAACACTACCGGGCAAGGCCCTGAGCAACCTGCTCAAATTGACCCTGCTTTGAGCAGAGGGTTGGACTAGATGATCTCCAGAGGTCCCTTCTAACGTCAGTGATTCTATGCTCCAAGTCTGTACTGGCCTCATTGACTCCACAAACTCCTAGCAGGAAAACTCACCACCTACCTTCTAAACAAGTGAAAAGCATGTAACTATTTTCATTTATTTCGAGCAACTATTTTTATTTATTTAGGTAGTGCCCAAAACCTTGGGGGTAAAACCTGGCTTTAAATCTTTTTTTTAATCACCTCAAGAATTGTTGTGAATCACTTGTAATTTGTTCGGATAGCTGATCAAAAACTTAGAAGAACCTACTAGATTGGGAAATTTGAACCATCCTCTACTGTAGAAAAGAAAGACTTAACACTGAGAGCATTGTTGCTCTTTGAAACGAGACCTGGCATAAATATGTCATTGAAGGTTTTGAGCTGCCAGCTTCAGTTAATCAAAAATAGTTATGCAGATGAAGAAACTCACCTCATCTAATGTTTCTAAATCTAAGTGCAGCTGATTTTGTAAAGAACAAAGCTTTGGCAAGGATATATTTTCTGTATCTCCACCGTTTTTCGTATAAGGTAATGTAGTAGATAGACAAGCAGCTAATTGTGCCTTCAGCTTTTTAAATTTATTTTCCACTTCCTCTTTCTTCTGAAGAGCCAGTTGTTTGTCCGCATCTGCAATGTTAGCACGTTCTTTTGCTTCTTGAGCCTCTTTCTGCCATGCATCACATGCCTGGGAGAAAGAGATTTCCTTAGTATAAAAATAATTTTTTAAAATTAACAACAGAAGAGCAAATTCAAAAGCCTTCAAAGATGCAAGTAATCTCTAATTTTAGACATAACAATGCATTTACTGTCAATTTAATGCTTCTCCCTACTTATACTACCTTCTAATTAACAACTCTTCTTGTTTTGTCTTAATGTAATTTTTAGGTATGTCACTGTTACTTGTCTATAAACAGCCAGAAAAGCCTTTTTGGAGCTCTATAAATGGAACACTTTTTCAATGTTAAATTCATGATTTACTGTCAAGAGACATCAAAAACTATCAAAATTTATTACCCCTACTTAGCTACCCCTCATCACAGAGAGAACAACATGAGGTGAAAAAAAGTACTACAGGAAATGCACTACACTGGCAGTTATCAACAACCTTGGTTTGACTGCTGAGATGGCTAGATACTGTCCAGGTACACTATACAACCACAGCTGTTGTCAAGCCTCTACTTTTTTTTGCATGCTTATCATCTGAAAGAGGTACAGGAGAGAATGTATGTCTTTAGCTGCTTAAACATCAAGACACATTGCTGTTCAGCCCTATCCTGAATATGTGTAAGTGTCCATGTCTAGAGAGGCAGATCAACTCTCTGAAAATGAATTGCCCTTTAAAAAACTTTCCTTTATGCCACCACCTCATTTTGAGGATGGAAAAAACATTCCTTTGACAGATCACAATAAAACTCTGGGTCCAAGGTTAAGAAGATTTGTAAAAAGGAAAAGCAGTAGGAGCTGCTTGTTTGTTAAAAAAAAATAAAATATATATAGATACAATTTAATACTACCATAAATGAGCATACCTGTTTTACTTGTTGCCAAGATTCTTCCCATTGTTTTAGTCTTCTCTTGGCATCACCAAGTTCCTGTCTAACTCGAGTTAGTTCGTTTTCACTGGTGTTTGAACTTATTGAGGGGGCAGTACCACTGCTTAGTACTGGGGAAGGACTAGGAGAGAAACTCCCAGTTACAAAGTCCCAAATGCTCCCTGTAACACCATTTAAACCTGTAAAACAAAGGCAGAAACAACAATCATTTTGCACACACCGCTGCAGAATTATCACATGCAAAACAAAATAGGTGTGGCACATACACAAAATTTATACTTCTATCTGCAGGACTCATAACATTATTTCACTGCCTTTGGGAATGTGACAGTCTGGAAAATGTTTACAGTGTTTAGAGCAACTCAGGAAACTTACCACTTTTTTTTCTTGCCGCTTTCAATAAAAGACAGTGCGGTCCACAAAAGGAGGAGTGGGAATTAATTTATATACTAAAAGTTTTGTTCCTAGCAGCTCACACATCATTTGAATTCTTTCTCTTTCACTGTTTTGTATTTTCCTTTAGCAAAATACTGTAGCTAAAATGCATTTCCGCTGCCTGTATGCCAACTGCTACATTTTACGCCTTTCAAATGCCTCTGTAAATATCTCCTCTTCCAATAATTATTTTTTCTCTTCACTAGGAAGGCAAGTGCACTCCTTGAACTTTCTCCCACATACCACATATAACTCCATTATCAGTAGTGTCATCAATTACAATGGCTAGGCTTTGTTGTCCAGATTAAGTCATAAGCAACACACAAAGCCTTAAACAGAAGATTTCTTACCTGTCACCGAGTTCCCTCTTACAATACACAAAGTACAGCCTTCAACTTACCTAAAGAGTTGTGAGAAGAGGCTGAGGTGCCTAACATACTATGTTCTGTCTTCAAAGGCTGAGGCAGCTGGTGGTGAGGAGCCGTAGTGGATGAAACAAAAGACTGAGACAGTGATTGTGAAAGAGAACTGAGTGGAGAGGTTGAAAGGGATGATGATGAATGTAAAGATGAGGAATGAACAAGAGAACCTGGAATATTGACAGGTGCTGAACTTCCCAGAAATCTTTGACCTATGTATGCATTAGGGGAAAAAAAAAAAAAAAAAAAAAAAGATTCGTTCCAAAGCAGTACACAGCTCTCTGTATTTTTCTGAAAAATGCATCAAATGTAATTGAATTATACATTCAAATACCTTCCATTAAAAAAGAAAACTTTATTTATCTCCTATTGCAAGAAAGTATTTTTTAAATTGAACACTTGAAAGTAGTTTTCCAAGTGTCTGAAAACAGATTTTGTAGCTTTACACAGCAGTGGCCCCACATGCAGCTACAAAGAAAGAAAAAACTTTTCAGATCAAGTTATTCAACTTACTAATTTTTATAGCCAACAACTAATGCAAGGAACTGACTGAAACCTAAAAGATTAAGAAAAATTTGGGTTTTATTTTAATATATAAACTAGAGTTAAGCCAGTGAAACTACACACCTTGAAAATCATACACAGCATAATAATCACACATAGCTCAATTTCTTTCCTCTACATACTTCTTTTGTTCAGTAGATTTTAAATATCAAATGTACTTAACTCCCTAAGAAAACCGAGTTTGAAACAAAGTAAAAATTAATAATAATTTAGTCAAACAAATGCATTGTTCATAATTTCCCAAAATAATGATAATAACAAAAAAACAGTTATTAAAAAATTATGTTCATTCATGCAGTTACTTAAATAAGCATGCACAGATGCAGTGCATTTTCCTGGTCAGGAAACAGTTCAATATTTACTATGAAGATTTTATTCATCGATATGTTTGAATAGCAACTAAAAATTACATCATATTTTCTTTAAAAAAATATAGCAGTCAAATGATCACACTTAAAACAAGGGTCGTGATTCCAGTTTTCTGGTTTTGCTTAAAACAGGTAAATTACTGTCATCAGAGAAAACATCATAGAATCATAAAGGTTGGAAAAG